CTGCCCCGGGGCCTGCAACCGGGCCCTCAGGGCGCAGCGGTGGCCGCCGCCGTTATGGAGGGGCCTGGCGCGGCGGCGGCGGCGGTGGGCGCCGGCCCCGGCGGCAGTAACGTCCCCGCTTTCCTCACCAAGCTGTGGACCCTGGTGGAGGATCCCGACACCGACTCGCTCATCTGCTGGAGCCCGGTGAGTCCCGGTGAGGGGACGAGGCGGCTGAGGCCCCGGGGCCTCGGCCCAGGCGTGTCCGCGGTCTCCCTCGGGCTCCGAAGTGACTTTCCCAGCCGCAGGCCTGGACCTCGCTCTTTACCGGTGTGTCACAACATGGGAGCGAGTTCCCGTCCCTCTCCAGGCCTCGCAGTCGCTCTTGCCTGCTCCTAATTAGAGGTGCTGCCTCTTTCCCAGGTGGTTATCCCATTACCTAGTTACCCCAGCGCCGCGATACCTCGGGGGCAATTGAGCTATCCTGTGTACTTGGGGGGGGGAATACAACAAAAAAAACAGCATCCGGATGCTCCTCTAGCTGTTTCCATGGTAGGGGATGCTCAACAGCTTTTAGCCATGTCATTATAACCGCTGTGGTACAGCCCGTGCTGTTTTTCTGGCCTGTTTCTATGGCGCTGGCCCGATTTGTGGTTGCACTAGTCACGCAAGTCCCCTTTTTCTATCTTTTCTAGCCGCTCGGGGAAGTTTTAAGTTTTGTCTAAAAGATGGTAGCGTGTGGAGCCAAATACCACAAGCTGTTTTTCGGAGGCGGTTACATCCGTGGTGTTCACCCGAAATCAAAGGGAAGAAGTTTTGTAGCTGTTTGGTCCTTAACCTGGCAGACCAAACAGTTCAGTAGAAATAAGTTCTTGTGAATGCTCACTTATTCTGTTTCCTGTACTGCCGTATCGCCTTGCTTCGACCACAGATCAGACATTTGCTGCCAAAACTGTCGAGGGAAGAGAGATGAGGTAATACTGGTAAGAGTGAAAAAGGATTGTCATGTAGAGGTTTGACTTCAGATGGGAGTGAGGAGCTGAGAGGAGTGGAACTGCTGTTCAAGATAATAAAACGTGAAAGATAAGGACCAAAATTAAAACATACACACGCTGGGAATGTTTTCTTGTAAGCCTTGATCGTAGCTGCTCTCCAGCAACTCTTAACTGTTTGCTTATCTGACTCAATGTGGCAGTAATGAGATGAAAGACCTGCGCTGTCTGTTTGCTGCAGATATTGCATTGCTCTTAACTTTGCAAGTCATTGCCTCTGAACAAACACCTTGTCCTGTTACTAGTGCAAACAAAGATTTGATGCCTTGCGTTAAATAAGTTTGTGTTCGGTTTTGTGTTGCTGTAACACTGTGAGAAATTGCCTGTAGGGGCAGGGGATGTATGACGTTACCCCATTCCCTCTGCCTTTGGGAACTGCAGCGCGCAGGCAGGGCGCCTTCCTCCTGGGGGTGGGTGCAAGAGCTTTTTTGGGGGTGCCGTGAAAACTTTGGGCCTCTGCTTGAATGCAGACAGACTCGCTGTTTGGGCGGTGTTTAAATTAAGCTGTGCCACTGGGAATATGGAGTAGTATCCGTGGAATTAGTACCTACATGCAAATCAGCATGCTTTTGCAAACAGGTATATGTACTTTGCTTATGTTGACAGGTAAAGAAAGTTGCCTACATCTTTACATTTCTCCTTGCCCAAAAGATTTTTGCGAATGTCCTGAGTGGAGAAGGAAAGAGGTGTCAGTGTTGAGGCTGGAGTTCCTGACTGCTTGCTTCCACCCCATGGCACAGTTTGCTGCCCCCTCTTTTTGGGGGTTATTGCTCATGGGGATCGTTTTGGTTTGTAGCATGACTACCCCAAGCTGTACTAGCCCACCTGGGGGGCAAGGGAGCTGCTCCTGGTAGGTGAGAGTGAAAAGGTAGGAAAGGGAGATTCATCCACTCGTTTTGCATCTGATGATGCAGTGTGCTGGGTGAGGTTGCTTCGCAGTAGCTGTCCAGGTACATGTTCTTGTCCTGTGCTAAACGTGCAATCTCTTGCTTTGTTCACCGAGGGATAAGCTACCTTTATTTACTGCGGGTTTGCTGCAGGTAACAGTGTGCGTGAAGAGCAGCGTGATAGCCTGGACAGCTGGAGCACTGAGGTTCAGCCCAGATCGAAACTTTATTCCAAAGCAATTTTGCCAGTCTGATAAATAGATATTTTTTTTTAAACTGCTTTAGACTATTGGTAGGTGGACAAACCTTCTAGGTCTTGGCAAGAGCTGAGGAAGCACAGTCTGGATGGATACAACTCTTAAAATTTATTGTGAAGTCTTAGATCCTGATCTTCACTTCAGAAGCAGGGTTCTGCTTGTATGGAATGACTGTGTCAGACGTCTGAGGTCTTTGTTTTTCCTGCTGGTGAAAGTAAATGTTCTGTGAGTCAATGGAATCTGTGAGAACCTGGGAAAAGATTGGATCTTCCCCTAAGTAGTTCTCTCGCTTTTTGTTGTTGTTAATACAGACTGTGATACAGAAACAAAGTAGCTGATTATCCTCAGGCTCACTCAGGTAATCAGTAGTTGATGACTCTCAGCTTACTGTGTTTAATTCCTTTCTTTTAATTTCCTCTAGTAATAGATGGAAGAAACAAGCTGTAGGGGTTCAGGAATATGGATCTCTAAGTGGCTGCAATAAGGAAAGGGATCTTTTATGTGCTTTTGAGGAGAAATCAACTCAGTAGAAAGCAGAAAAATAAACATAAGGGGGAGATAAAGAAGCAGAACATGCTTTTTAAAATATATAACTTCTAATTTGACTTCTTTTGAAGGTAAAGTCTTCGAATTTTATTTGTGATTCCTTGACACACCTTTTTTTTTATTATTTTATAACTTTCTCATCTTGGAAACTTCTCTCATCCCTACAGCTAATGTTAATGATTCAAACCTCCCCCTGGGTGCAGTCACTGCAAGTCTGAAAGCCAGGATGGCTTTTAGGTGTTTGCCATGTCCTCAGCATCAGGTGCTGTGACAGCCAGGTTTCTGCCCTGCCTCATCCATAAATCCTGCCGTTTCCTCAAGTGTAACGTTGCCGCTTTCTATTCAGAGGACTCTCAGATTTGCTAGAGGCCAAAAGTGTTCTGGGAAAGTACCCCAGTCTGCTTCCTCTCTCACCAAAACCTCTCTTCTCAGCCTCAGGGGCAGCCTGCTGAGCTGGATTTTCCAAAGGGCACGCAGACAGAAGTGCGTTTTCCTCATTGTTTCAAATCAGTCAGTGCTTCTCACATATAAAGATGAGATCGCACCCGACTGGATTACTGGGCAGCAAGTTTAAAAGGCAGATATCTCTTAATGTCGCTCACAGATTGTGTAATCGCTCCTCACAATGATGGTGCGCAGGCCAAAACCGTAGGAGAATTTGAAAAGAGTTCAAGGAGGATGGGTTGTTTTCTTATAAAACACAACATCTGGATATAATTTCTGCCCTCAGAAGTACCAACACTGCTGTTTGCTGGTAGAAGCTTGTTAGGGAAAGTTGATGTTGTCTTGCTTAGACTTTTCCCCAAGTGTGTGAGGTGGCATCTTGTCTCCCTGGACCTCGGTCTGACGTGGGACAGCAAGTCTTGTTGACTCTGCAGCAGATTCCTCCATTGAAACAACCAAGTTGAAGTATATTTACAATACAAATAATAAGACTAGTTGAAGACTAGTTTATTTGTGACATTATTTGCTACGTTTACCTTCCTTTCCAAGGCATACACTCAACTAGGAGTTGGCTACTGCCAAAGAGTGCGAATCGCCTTTGCATCTCTGCTAGTGATTGTGGGGCCTCGGTGAGTGGATTCAGCTTTTTGTCCTCTGTGGGTTGTTTTTTGTTGGTTTTTTTCCCCTGGATCTTTTTCTGTTGAACTTGTGAGTTTTAGTGGCTCATCCTGCTGCCATTTCTGCTGGAGGTAATGGGAAAGTGTACCTGGGGATGGTAGGAAGAGGGGGACAACCTTTGCTGGTAGCAGCCACCTGTTTAAATTGAGTTACTTGGAGGGTGGATGGCTTGTGAATCTCTGGAGGCCAGGAGATGCTCTGAGGAAGCAGCAGTGCATTTGCTCTGCTCCTAGAGAAGCTCCTGCTTAGGTATGTGGCTGCTGTCATGCGTGGACCTCTGTTCTGGCTTGGTATGCAGCTCTTGGGTTCACATTGAACCGTCCCTGCCTGCTAGTGTTAGGTTAACGGTTGGACTCCATCTTAAGGGTCTTTTCCAACCTAAACAATTCTATGATTCTATTCTAAACTGGCAGAAAATTGGTTTTGCTTTTACTTCCATGGTCTGGCACGTTGTGGGCTTGGGTGAGCATCAGGGCTGGCAAACATGGGTCAGGGCTGCTCCTCGGCATCAGCAGGGTGCTAGATTGGCATGACCGCAGGTGAAACCGTGCCTTACGGTGAAGGTCTGTGAGATGGCCGTGTTCGTCTTGCCGTGGCTAGGTACGGGTGGTAGTTTTGGCCCCTCCTAAGTTAAACCACCTCAGCAAAGAGGCAAACGGACGCCTGCTCAGGAGCAGGCAGGGTCGGGGCTTCCCCTTGGTGGTGGTGGCAAGTCCGTGAATCAGCACGAGCTGCAGCGTACCCCTTGAGAGGTTTGCAGATGCAAGAGGGTGGGGGTGAGGTGGGGAGGGTTGTGTTCTCTCCCGCTCTGCCCAGGTTGTCCTGTCCTCCTGGTG